AATAATAATCGTCCAGCTGTTACACCCTTTCGGTGCTTAGCTGTCATGCCACCCGAATGAAACATGAAGGCCGGGGTACTGTCAGGTTGTCAAAGTCCGTACAGAAGCATTCTAGTCGCCCAGGTCGGATTCTAACCATTGATTTTCCTGTCATCAAGTTCGTACCCTAACCACTGAGCCATCTCGTGATCTGAATCAGCACCCAAAATACCGTACAACCATGGTTCCCATAACTAAAAATTTTGTGATGCCACATCGGCCGTGGCGTGGTGTTATCAGCAGGGTTAAGTTACCTGTTTCGCAAGACAGAGCGCAAACATGGTACTGCTAACGTCGCCCTTCTCATACCTTCACGTAGTCCCTCTTGTACCCTATCTTGCATCCGTGTGATTACACTCTACGGGTCCCAGCACTAAAACTGACCGCTCTGTTCGCCACGAATCACACTCAGCTGCAGCTTTTGCGCGTCCAACTTCACTAACAACCAGAAAATTCCGAAGTCCGCTTTCAGGCCTCAAAAGTCGGTCTACTTAGCTAACGCTAATGTTCACACTCTGAGAAATGCAGGAAAATATGCGGCTCTTGTTCGTACGCTGGATTACCCCTGCATTGATGTATGCTGCCTGTCAGAAATAAGGATACAGGACTGTAATTGGACTGACTGTCTCCTCGCTCTCCCACATTTTCTGGCTGCGCACCTCTGGCGATGCTGAGGCCGCTGTAGCTCTATATGTTAGAGCGGGAATTGTGTTGAGTAATCCGGATGAAGCGTCTCCACTTGACTGGATACCTGATGACAGTATCCTCTACGCGTTTCGTTTGGTAAGATCCGAGAAGTAATCTCGAAAATTGGAGTTCCATTGTTCCCATTTTTTTGTAACCGCTTACGGCAACAAAGATTATGGCTTTGAGTCGATGAGGGAAGTTTCTTTGAATTCTAGATTTCCTTGTGCGACACATTAAACACTCACAACGTGGCGTTTGCCGGTGATGTGAACGCTCAAGTAGGCTATGCGCTACCTAGACCCAACAGAGTGCTCGTCTTGGGTTAGACAGGAGACACACAGACAATGGAAAGTGTCTGCTTGAGATGTGTGCTGATCACAAATTGTTTCATGCAGTAGCAATTTCTGGATCATCGATAGCCGATTAACACCTTGGCGGCTACCAGCGAACCAGCCCCGAATCCTTGCTGTTTTCAATTAGACGAAAAATTCGCACACCTCTCAAACAAACCTATCAGAACCGAACGGCAGTGAAGCATCGGTGTTGAACACTGATGTCATGCTGTCGATGATGATGATGATGACTCCTCTAACTCCTGCCTGCCGGTCCGGTGTTAACGATCACCGGAGAAAGAAATCCAAATCTCTACTTAGCGCCGGAACTTCTTTCTTCGGTACAACTAATTTAACTTCATTCAAGCAACGGATCCCTGAAAAGACCGTGACTGCCAGAGACCCGGTACCAGATCCATCCTTGTGGCAGCTACAACTGAATTCGATGCGTCGCCTGGCACCAGGCGAAGCTGATTTTCCTTAGAAACCGAGAAGCTTAGTTGACCAGAGAACGAAAAATGTTGGACATGTCCGCAGACTGTTCCACCTGATTCATCTGAATTGTTCTCCGGAGGCTATTGTCACAGTGACAGCCTGACACTCGGCTGCGTCGTCGTACTCTTGTTCTTGGCGGCCTTTCGCCTGCTGTACTCACGGATGGTGGTGAGTTCGTCATCTAGTGCGTGTCTAACATATTTGCGTCCAGCCGGGAGATAGAAACTGTCCCGAAGACTGCGGTTTGTCGATACTAGTACTCGTGTTCGAATATGGGGGTGAAGTTCTCAGTCAGTGATTGTCTGATCTGTTTGCCTGTATTTAGGAAAAACAGGCTGCTGTAAACAGCTGGAGAGAACCGGTGATAGTGCCTGTTCTCAAAATGGGCTCGGAGTGGGTGTGGTAACCACGGGGAATCAGCTTGACCCCGGTCATAACGAGACCATTGGCGTCACTTGTGCTTCGTCGTCTTATGGTCGCCCGTGAAACACTAACTCGAGTGCAACAATCTGGATTCCTTCAGATACTAGAACGACATACGTACAAACGACCCACTTTTTAATACTCCTTGATTTCCAAGACGCATTCGATTCGATTAACTGGTCTGCCCTCTCTGACACGTTTGTCAATCAGGGAATGCCTCGGAAGTTCTTTGTACTCAGAATTTCGGACATGTGGGCCTACGGAGAGCTCTTCGAAAGCTTCCGTTCACAGGGCGGTGTCCATCAGGGATGCCCACTCTCTCTATTCTTACTTATTTTCGTGGTCGACGAGACAGTGAGATGAACGCTAGAAGGTTTTCCGAACCCCGATGTTCAAAAACCTTGTCAATCTGGTATATGCTGCGTTGGTTGGGACATGTGTTTCGTCTGCCGAACCATCGTTTGCCAAAGAGATTGCTGTTTTCCGTGTCCAACTCTGGCGTAAGCAGAGAGGTGGGTCATCCTTGACTTGGCAGAGGGACATGGAGTAGATTACGAAACGCTTGGGTGCTATCGGTGCTACTCGCCTTCCAGGATGGAGACCGCGTGATCCTCACGGTGCCTGGTTGGAGATGCTGCAAGTTATGGCTGCCAGCCGAGGTCGGTGGCGTCAGTCTCTATCCAGATTGCCTGAATAAATGTTCGGAATGATCGTAATAAGCTGGCAGTAACTTCACCTTTATTCTTCACTTCACAGTAAGGTTTTCAACTAAATCATGGTTGTACGGCTGTGAAGCATCGGTGTTAACTACTGGTGCCATGCTGCCGATGATGATAGCGATGATTAGTGCCCATTTTCTGTTATGTTCTCTACTAATCAGTCAAAAAGCCTAGAGGAAATTATACTGCGGCAACTGAACAGCCAATATCGAGATTCGAAGAATCAGGAATGGAATGGAACAAACAGTCCAATGAAAGGCTGAAATATATAGAGAGAGATGTGAGCAATATGTTTGTAGGAGGAGTGCCTCCTAACACCTCCCCTTTGAAGTCATTGCTCGTACAACTGGAGTTGTGGGTTCAGTTGCATTCGTATGACAGGCTTTCTGATCCGGTCGGTCCATCTTCTGGGTGTACAACTTTTGGAAATTT